CGTCCTTGTGAGGGACGCTCAACGCCCGTCTATACTTTGTGACCTATGAAGGCTTATCGGCTTCGAAGCTTCGGGAAAACTTCGGTAGGCATTCAGTGAGGACCTGCCGGCGTTCTGATGTGCAAGGGAGTTCAGGTACTAATCCAAGGATGGACCCATATCTTGCCTAGAGAAGAGAAACCTGTGATCTTGGGAAAAATTGCCGCCTCATTATGGATTCCATCCGTTGGACTTTCTTTCCCTACTACTTCTTCATTAGTATTATATGCATACTGTAATCATTATTATCTGCCTATTATTATTCAGATGAAGCCCGTATTCCGGGATTGTTTGCAAAACCCGGGAGGGAAGGTACACGCTCTCTAGCTCTTTTCAGTTACTAACTAAACTGAGATTCGTGATGACCTTTCTAGGCAAGGAAATCATATCATAGCCGTCAGCCGAGAATTCCTTGACCCACGGGGTGCCTCATTCCACAGTGACCACAAGAGGACTACTGTTATTGTCAGTAAATCCCGGAAAATCGATGAAATGATCCCACTTTTCTCATGGTGTTTTTGATGCCGATACTTCCGATAACTGGATCGCCACCGCTCTGCCGCTTCCGCTGTCATCGTGGGTGCAGTTTTGCCGATGTTCCTGTCACGCATTTGGAATGCACGAATCGTACGGAGCTGAAAAATCGCTTAACAGAAGTTCACCAACCAGAATAAGCCAATTACGGTAGTGAAATGTCGTAAATCCATGTACGGTAACTCACATGTTGTCCCATGAGGAACATTCCTCTCATCCATAACGATTTTCCTGAACGACGGACAGTCAGCGCACGCGATCTAGTGCGTACATTGTAGTCGCCATTAATGTGAATCTTTGACGGTTCCACCTGGAATAGTTTTCTGTAGTTCTACCATTTACCTTGGCAACTCTACCAAGGTAAATGGCAAGTTCTACCATTACCCCGGTAGAGTTGAATAGTTTCAGAGGTGAGGATCTCTAGTTCCAAGTAAGTGCCGTGCTTAAGTTGTACTCGAATGACTGTGGAGCGTTACTTCCCATTCGGTACATCGAGCGCATTAACACAGTATCTCCTAGACGGTTGATCAGACGCAGACGCAGGGAGAGTTTAGAGCGTCGACGTGCCACAACACTGCTGCCTTGAGTGAATTGGGTCCTGGCACGACTGCACTTTACAACTCTGCGTGCAACGTCTTTTTTTGCTGTCTGGCCGCAACTGGGAAGTAACACTGCACACTCTGTGAGACCACTGTCCCAGCCTATAAATCCTATGGCACTGATCCACATTCGGCTAGCTTTCGGCCCTTCTCGGTAATGCAGCGCATTATCAAAGATGACTGTTACTGTAAGCTAGGAAGAAGCTACAGATGTGGGAGGGGGGGCCACAACAGATTAAGGGATTGTGGAGTACAGTACGCA